CCGCTCGCCTCCCTGGCGCAGCATGTCCCAGGCCAGGCCAGGCCAGGCCGGGCCGGGCCGGGTGAGGTCAATGCTGTGACTGGGACGGTAGCTTCAGGGAAGGACATCGCCATCTTGGTGCTGATGGCTCATTCCTCAATGCAGTGCTGCTGTGTTGGCAGGGCCATGGGAGATGGTCTTGAGTCATTGTGTTGAGCCTGGAAGGAGCCTGGAGAAATGGCTGCTCCACACCTTCTGACCGAGCTCCTCAAGGGCTTGTCCTGCAGCTCCTTCCAGCTGCATTCATGCATTGCTAATGTTGCTGCTTGTTTCCCCTCATCCCATGTGCCAATTAAAGCTGGGCTAATGAGCTGTGGGAGTGGAGTCATGGTGTGAGGGAGTTGGTATCTTCCACCAGTGTGATTTGTAAGAGCACAGCAGCTTGGAGAAGATCTCTGCTTTCATGTGAGCAGCAGTGACTGGAAGTTAGGGGTTATGTAACTTCTATTGTTTATTCATTTTTCTTTTGAACAATTTTGCTTTTGGATGTGGAGCATGTTCAGGTTATTTGTCAAGGCTCTCAAGAGTCTATGGGAAGAAGGAGCCCAAAGGAAGGAAAATTGAGCATGGGACCATCTTTCAGAGGTCATTGTGAAGGGGGGATTAGTTAAAGCCTGATAATTACTGAAGTGTGTGAATACCACAGGTGTTTACCAGCTGCCTTTGTGGTCTCTTCCTGGGACTAAAATCCTGCTTGTGAGGCTCCATGCACGCAGCCACAGGTCTCAGATCTGAAGCTGTCTGGGTCCACCTACCTAGGAATCACCTGGGATCTTGTGCTTAAGGAAGCTCACCAGTCTGGTGGAGGCTGGGTGAGTGGAGTGATGTCATTTTACCTTTCAGTAATTTTACCAGAATGGCTTAATTTCTTTAAAAGATAGCTTATCAAAATACCTGTTGTGTGTGTTAAAGACAGGCAGTATGTTGGATCTTAGCAGGAGTTGTGCAAACGTTGCATTTATTTTGCTGAACGCTTCATTGCCAGCTGCAAAGCACAGCTACCTCTTGCAGTGCACATTCCAGTAAACATCTCTTATCAATCCTATAAAATTAAATGAACCTAATTATTATGTTTCACTGAACTGTGCAGTGATATCTACTTGAGTGCTTGGCTAAATCTTTTTTTTCCTTGACTTCAGAGTTTAGCTTCAGGGTTGATGGATATTGATGCTCATGTTAGGAGAAGGCAGTATCTCGGCGTACTGCTGCTGGGTAGATGAGGTGCTCTGGAGGTCTGTGTTGACTGTGGAGCTGGTGAAGCTTGCAAGCAGGAGTCGTCGTGAAGATGGGCAGAGGCAAAGTTAGTTGCAGAGTTAGTGCTTTAGTACATTAAGCTACTGAATAAGGCAGCTGAGGCCTCCAAGAAATACCCAACAGCACCTCGTTTCTCTTAGGGCCATGTGGAGGCTGGGTATTGATGTCTCCATCATCCTCGGTCGCTTGGCTTATAAGGATGTATTTTGCTGTAGGCGGTAAAAGTGACTGGCAGCAGAGTCTGAGCCAGCTCGGGCTGTGAAACAGCTGGCTCCAAACATGAGCTGTTGCACTGTGGTGCCTAATGGAGGACTGTTCTCATTATCCTGGTGACTTGGGGGTGCACTGGTGGTTCTTGGTGCTACCATAAGGTGGGTGCTCTGGCTGAACCGGTAGGGGCATCTGCTTTTCTGGTCTATCAGGAAGCTCTGGGAAAGTGGTGGTACAGAAGATGGAAGCTCTCCCAGCAAACTTGGGCTACCAAACTTCAGGAGCTGAAGTAGCTCAGCATTTTGCTTGTGGCCACTCCTTTTTACACTCCGATAAAACCCTGTCTATGCAGAGACCTTGTTCTTTACACTTAAGATGAGTTCTTCTTTGAGCATGTTGGACCTGTGGGAAGATAGTGATCTGCCTGCCTGAAGCTCAGTTATTAATAATAAAGTATTTAAGATGGCAATTTGCATTTCAGCAGCACATTTAATTCATGGCTCTCCAAATGCTTTACAAACATTGATTAACATAGCCTCACAACAACCCTGTGAGGTAGGTGGATATGGTCATCCCCAGCACTGTGGGGACAATGAGGTCACCAAGGATAAGGGACTTGGAGTAATCGTGCTGGGATTTGACCTAGCACTTGGCCATTTAAGTCCCATTAGGCCTTCAGCTTCAGATCATGCTTTTCTAATGCATGGGTTTGGCTCAATGTGGGACTATACTGATTAATGAGCCTGTGACTGGGTGGCACAGACTATAAAGGCTGTTAATCTAAGGCAGCAGTTTATTAGCCAAGTAGATGGTTCCTTGGTGCTTCTTGGTGCTGGAATAATCTGAGGGTTTGAAGGCATATTAAAAATAGATTTAGGTATCAACCATTGAGTATGGCAGGCTGTAACTGGAGAAAGCCCTTAGACCCCAGGTGGGGAAGCTATGTGGGATGCTACTGTAAATGTATTGATCAGAAAGGACATAATTTATATATAAAGTTGACCCTTGCTCTTTCCCCAAAGTGGGGGGTGGGTGGGGTGGGAAAGAACCTAGAAAGTCACTGCTGGTTGTCATGTCAGCTTCAAGCTCTGGGCCTTTGACTTCATAGCACCTGCAAAAGGAACAAAACATGGTGCATCAGCAGCCTGTTTGGGCTGGCAAAAGAAGTTAAGCAACGTTTTCCCTCAAACCCAGTCCCAGTGCTAGTGTAGCTTTAGAATAACTTAAAAAGATATGAATTACTCGTGTGGGATGGATCTGAGAGTACTGATGGGAATGTGCTCCCATATTGCCTGCGGAGCAGGAGTGCGGTAAGCTCACCTCTCACTAGAGGGTGAGACCTTTACTTCACAAAGGGTAGCTTATTTACCTCTTCATTTAATGACAAAGCACTCTAGCTCTGATGGCTGGCCCTAGGTGATGGCACCTATGTATGAGATGTATGTGATGCCTTGAGTTCAGGCAGCCTGGATAAACCCAAGATGGGCATCCAAACTTCACCAGGCTCACTGGAACCAGTTTGGACCTTTAGGAGTTTGATGGCAGTTGTTTTTTATCTTTCTGAAGGAATAAGAGAGCAAAGAAATAACTCAAAGGTGTGCTGTTATCTAGCAAGATAAATAATTCCCACTTAACTTTCTAAAAAGCAAGGCTTAAAAGAGAAACCTTTTCTGATGGTGGGTAACTCATGCTGTTGTTCATGTTGATGTTCTTCATGGAGATCAGAGTGATGCTGTTATCCTTCTGGCTTGTGCCTGCTGAGCAGCTGTCAAGAAGAGAAGGCAGTGTTAACTACTCTGGAAAATGAGAGAAGGGAGTTTGCGCATAACTGGAGGCAAACTGGCAAGGCTGTGGCCGTCTGGCACATGGGACCAGGGCTGACTTACGCTGCCCTTTGAGCTGCTGTCCTGATTCAGGCACATCCTTAGTGCCAAAGTCACCTGTCAGAACACAGGAGATGTCTGGGGAAACAAGCAGTGCATTCAAATTTGAATGCGGTGCTGGTTTGCCCAACAGAAAGCACCATTGTCACCTGTGTCACTACTTGTAGGCAGAATCAAGGCGCAGTTTGGATCTGGTTCTCAGTGACTGAATTAACCCTTCTAGCCCTGCAGCCATTACCAGAACTGGAACAAAAGGAAACATTACCGTGTCCCTCTGTCCTATGCCCTTAAGTTTATTTTTCATATAAAGGGAGCCTTGGATATTTTTACATCTGATGCTGCTGCTTATGTATTGCCAGTGTCTCTCTTAAGAGTGAGAGTTACAAGTGTTAGGAAGGTGTAATTCCCATTTCTCCGTACCCTGAGGGCTGGGATATGCATTTAGTGCCAGTGGAGACTGGATGACTTTGGGGATTAGGGTGCCCTGGGGCACAGTCCTGTGCTCTGATATGTCCTGCCTCAGTGGCTGCAGATCGCTTAGATCATGATCATTAAGGGTATTTGTGATCCATTGATGTTGATGCAAATTTGGCACCTAAATACTTAGGGACTTTGCTCTGTGTGTCCCTTGCCTCTTCCCAAAGCAGGGTTTATTACTTTGGTAGGAAACTTTCAGATTGAAAAGTAGGAGCAACGTGTTTTGGTCCCTTCCAGCTCTTGAGCTCTTGTTTCCTGCTGCTTTCCCCTGTGCAGCCTCTCTTCTTGGTTAGCAGTCATGGACCACGGGGTTCAGATGGACCATCCTTTGCTTGGTACTTCTGTTCCAAAGGTCTCTGGATTGGGGCCCCTTATCCTGCTCTTGCTAGATAAAAGTAATAGATGTTTTGGAAGATATTTTTGGGGACCTGATCTCATCTCACTGAGGGTGCTTTGAGATCCAGAAATCCAGGTTTAGACCTCAAGTCTGTATATAGGCAAAGAAAGACAAGCAAACTGCTTTTGGAAGGTGATGAGTCTTCACAGATATCAGTGCAGCTTTGAAATGAGGCCCCTAAATATTGAACTTCTACCTTTGACTCCATCAGGCAGACGGTGAGGTGCTGTCACTGCTCATTTTGGGTTTTTTACCTGTCTCAAAGATGTCTTGAAATGCTCCCTTCCATCTTTTCCTTGCTAAAATTAGTTCTGGAATAAAATAGGCATTTTCAATAGGATGTGAATAATGTGAGCAGCCTTACCTCTCTGACACCATGGAGGTCCCTGGTTTCTGTTTGTCTGGAGGGAGAAAAACAGTTAGTGATGTACAGGTGAGAAAACATCACAGCCAAGCATTAAAATAAGTCAGTTATATTCAGAATTATGTTGTACAGGGTTATAAATGAAATCCAAATGAGATTAGAGACACCATGGGGGATACTTGAGAGTTGATTAGAGAAAATTCTTCAACTAACGTGACATACAAGCAGGACCGAATGCTTTGCTGCCTGTTTAGTCACTAGCATCCTTTGGTCTTTTGGCAGTTACCGTCTTGGGTAGAGCAGCCTTGCCCTCTAGTGGGCACTGCTTAGTGGGAAATGGGATTCCTAGGGAAAAGGGAGCGTCAAATCCGTGAGTTTTGCTGGAAGAGCTGCCCACCCCTGGGAATCTGCACATCTAACTGCAGCAAACTTGAGACTGTTCCTTTGTGCAGATGGGTCTGGGCTGGGGCTCTAAAGAGGTGGTCACACTACATTCCTAACTGCTGAATCTGTGTTCCGGTTTGGCTTCAAAAATCTCCCCACCATGTAAGCTTTTTAAAAGCATCTTTTAGGAATTACCAGATCCGTGTAGAAACTGATGACTTTTTTGATTAGGGAACGACAGA